CAACACCATGTCTCAACAGGTGCAGAATTTTATCTACGAAGAGCCGTAGTCCTCCAACGGAAATATTCACTCCGATCCAACTGTAAGTAACGGTACTTCAAGTCATCAGGCAAGTACATTCATTAATGTTCCTTTACCTGTATTTCATTCGCCCAAGAGACAGGGTAGTAACAGTGACCCAAATGGGCCGGCGAAGAAAATCAGTCAATATCCAAGAATATTCAGTCTCAATCAGGAACAGCTTCAGCGCCTTACAAAATCTCCAAGACTGAAGAAACCAATCCAATCCCCCCGTTTTTGTTTTTAACATTATCTCACAGAAATTCACGATCTCTTCAAAGGTACCCTAAATGTCAATTTGCTACCGAGTTAAAATTTTGCAAGGTTAACGGAAATTAAACTTCAAACGGAAAATAGCGAAGACTGCCGACTGTTAGTGAATATGCTAAATAGTAACAACAAATCCTTTCATACTTACGCTGACCCATAAACATAACATAAAAAATTATCGATTGTAATAAAAGATGCACATCAATACTGTACTTAACATCAAATTCTCGCAGAACTTATAACGAAAAAATTTGAAGTTGTGAAAGTGAATAGACTTCGTAATACAGAAGGTTAGCCAATTCCTGTCGTTTCTGTGATATAGCGAAAGAAAATAGGTGACAAAATATATTCGAATTAGATAGACTGTGCTATGCAGTTGCTCGTGTCGAACAGCGAAAACGTCTGTTAGATCCAGTTCAATTCTCAAGATGCCAAGACTATAACCATACCAAAAACTATTGCAATAGAAATTGTGCTATTTCTACTGGCAATTATTTCACCATAAACTGTGCGGAATCGAGTAACTTTATACCAGTATGCAGCAAGACGTCACGATTGCAAATGGAAGATCAAATGTTTATTTATACTACGAAAAAAGTGCAAAATATAAATCAAATAAAACCGTAAGGAAACTAAACTTCCATCTTCAACCAATAATAATAATAATAATAATATTAACAATAAAAACAATAAAATAATAATAATAGTAATATAATAATAATAATAATAATAATAATAATAGTTTTACTTATGAAGCTAAAGTTTCCTCGTCTGTCTTCCATTTATAACATTCCTTATTTTAATCCCCTACCATTCATAAAACCTCCCTCCCATTTCAATGTGAATGATGTATCATCAAATAGTTCAGCCAGCAATTCAAATGGAAATTTTAACTTACGTGATTTCCTAGCTATTCATATTGTTTACTTCTTTAGTCATTTAATTCAATCGTTCCTCCCTACTTTAAATGATAATATCAGAACCTCAATTTTGTGATATGATAATACGGTAATATCAAAATCAAATTTCCAGAATTGTGTTTAAAACATCGTGCTTCAACAATCTAACATTTTAAACTGGAACCGTCGAGATATTCTCAATAAGTGTTCTGAATTAAATCATTTTCTGGTTTCACGTGATATTAACATAGCACGTTTAACCGAAACTCACCTAATCTCTTCCTAATCAGTCACAGTTCTAGGTTATAAATGTTCCAGACGTGACAGACCAGGAGATTTTCCAGCAGGTTTTAATTCAAGAGAATTAAAACCTAATTTACTAATTCAAGAGAAATCCTGCTTTCCACACTGGACTTCATTTCCCCCAATAACAGCAGGGCTAGAAACAATAGCACTAACTATCAACCTTCAGAACGGTAATATAATAATAATTTCAGCATATAAGCCGTCTAATAAACAATTGACTGCAACCCGTCTTTAGGACATTTTCAACCTAATGGTACTCATTATCTTACTTGGCGATCTAAACACAAAACACACTTCATGAAGATGTAGAGTAAATAAACCAGCCGGAACCTTTAAATCTTGCAAAGCAGTTAAATCTCAAGATTGCAGCGCCCATTGACCCTACATACTTTCCTTTTAATGCGATATTTGAGATACTGTGATAATAAATTTAAATTTTGCACTCCATTCGTATTCTATAAGCGAACCAGATTCAGATTATAACCTAATGATTACAACCTCCAAATTAATCAGTTCATTACCTAATTACCCACCGCATTTACCTACTTACACAATAAGTCGGCATACATTTCAAAATCAGTTATCATCGCATCTTCCTCAGTTTTTGAATCTAAAAGCGTAAATAAATGCATCAAAAGCTGTATAGCTAAGTTACAATATTTTTCTGCGAGACTTTATAAAATTACACTAAAAATTAATAAAAAACATAAAATGTGTTTCAAATTTAAAGTAAGGGCTGCAGAAATTCATTGTGTGTTCTAGATAACCTTTGGAGATAATACCATGAAATTACCACTGAAAGAACACCGTAACTAGGGCGAATATCCTGCCAGAATCGCATTTCTTCAGCCCACACTCCCAAGACGTTCACAGATGGTCTTGTGGGACAACTCCCAGAGAGTCGAATGCATTGCCAATGAGATTACAGTAATGAATTCGTTAGAAACTAAGAGTTTTGGTAATACATTTTTTTACAAGTGTATTTCCTCAAGTGCATTCCCCGAACATTCTGACAGTGCCTCATGTATCACATCATCGTGCTAAACTAAGAAGCGTTAACAAACGAAATATTGATTCTAAGACATAATATCATGCTAAGATGTAAATGTCATCCAATGTGTGTCGAAGTGACAGGTGCAAACTAAAATAGTCACATGTTTAATTATCTTCAAGCAAATCAAATGTATGCACTTCGAAGTGTTCTTTGTTTCTGTGTTTTAAGAATAACTTTTCACACAAAAACACATCTTTTGTTTTGTTAATTAAAAATTATATTCTTGATGGATTGTAAGGTTGGTTGCTTGCAGACTATATTATGTGTTCTCAAATTAATTCACACTTGAGAATAAATAATAATGCCAGGTTAATAAACAATACAATCACTTTCTAACTACCAATTATTGGTATTAAGATAGGAAAGACAATGGGACGAAGCCGCAGCGACCCCTTCACAAATCCTGATGCGTCAGCTCTTGCGTTAACTTTGCTAAATAAAGAACGGAGCAGCTAAATTTTATACACACAATGTTTAGGTTAATTTCTAAAAAGAAAACGAAATATTTGCAGTTTATGAATTCCCGTCATAGAAAACATAATTTACACTCATTTGCCTTTTAAATTCCGAAACGAACGCGCATGGCTCGAAAAGCGTTTATCGTAAGGTGTAAGGATGCCAAGAAAATGCATGAAGACACCTATCCACCTCACCTCTGCCTCTGTGAAATTGCACAAATTTCTTGTACTTATCAAAGACGAAAAAGATGGATACCGTTGCCGAGCGCAAACTTGAAGTCTGGTTTCAAGTCGCGTCACACAACATTTATGAGGCTACATTGTAGAATTCATATTTTCACCAGAAGTAAGACAAGGAACTAAACGTTCACATTCACGCGAAATCTTTGACGAGTTATAAAGCACCATCACATGAAGGAAACCATTACAGACAATTTATTGGTGTCTGCCTCTTCAAGTGTGCGTTTGTTTTGGACTTTTGCAGGCGGAACGGCGCGGGTGGAGAAGCAGGGCGGCGTGGCGGCGAAGGAAGTGATAGTTGCGGTGGGCACAGACACGCGGCCGCGGGGGGCCCTCTCGCATGAATCAGCCTATCGATTTCCATTCGCTTGTCTAAGCAGGCGCGATGGCGTTGGGCGTACGACCTTCTGCGGTGTTGCTCTCCCGCCTACCACGCCCCCACCACCGCACGTGGCCTGCCATGCCCCAACCACGTCACGCCCACGCCTCCACGTCCCGCCCGAAATTGCCCGCACCCTCCCCGCCACCGAAACATCTCCGCCGCCAGTCCCCGCCCCCGCCACGTGCTGCCTCATTACGCCTCCACCTCCGACTTGTCCCCGTCCCGCCCAGCCCCTGCCTCCCGCTACGCCACCCCCGCACGCTCGGGTAGGAGATCGTGGCACGAGTCGCTCGCCGCTAAAGGTTACGGGAAATACCGAGCCGGTCAGCGCTTGCGTGCGCGGCGTCCTGGCTCTGCCTCGACCGTCCTCGAGCGGGGCCCTCCCAGGCGAAATGGTCTCCGCGCGCCAGTTTTGTTTAACATATGTGATTAATTCATAATTCTTCACTGAAACAATGCTTATCTCACAAAAACAAAAATAATAATCGCCATCTTCAGTTCATTGTATTCAGGGGAAATGTAGCGTAGTTGGACCAAGTATATGAAATAATATAATCTACTGGGCACTTGCCCAATGCGAGAAGTACTACAGTATCTTGCCTCAGAGGCCAATTAAAAATATCGGGCAGTTTCGCGACAGAGGCGAAAAATCCGAAAAGAAGTGGCAAAAACATTTAAAAAAATAGTGAAAGTGTTAAAATAGCATTTGTAGCGATATTTCTCGTAATTAGAGATTGGGTCGACGTGGAAACGACAGAAAAACTTTCAGTGAGTTCGCGCCTGAGCCAGGGGGTTGGACACTTGTCAATGGGTCACAGGCGGTCGGCTATGCTGTCAGGCGAGCGGATACACACTTCTGAGATGTCTGAGCTGTTCCGGCGGCGGCCTGAGTTTAACTTATTGCCGCTGCTGCGATTCTCACCTGGAGGTCCTGGGATTCGAGTCCTGACGATAACGGATTTTCGACACTATGTAGCGAGGTTGAAATCTGGAAAAAAGGCCGCGGACTCTCAACTTTAACACACGTACCTGCACTAAACTACCACTCATACCGGGAAAACAGAGATCTTAGAGCATGTCTCGCTTGAGGAAGTAACTCCTGCTGGGGAGAGATAAGCTGCTGGGGAGAGACAGAGAAATCCCCCGCAAGCGGTCGCGTAGATCGGCGCCGGATGTCATCATGTAGTCACCATCACACAGTGGTAGTGGTAGTGGTAGTGATAGTGGTAGTAGCAGTGGTCGTGGTCGTGGTCGTGGTATAGCGAGTTTGTATTATTCCCTAGGTGTCTCTCGCCCACGTCAAATGTGACCCCATGTCAAATATCTTGGCATTACCCTCTCCCGCAGCCTCGTTTTACCCAACACGTCCTCAACACCACAATAAAAATCAACCGAATCACAAACGCCCTTTACCCTATCCTGACTAATCCGTCCATCCCCATCAAAAAGAAAATCCAAGTTTACAACATCTATATCCGCCCAACCCTTTCTTACGCCCATCCCACATGGTTCAACACATCCATCATCAACAACAGAAAACTAACCGTCACCGAAAATAGAGTAATCCGTCTGATCTTCTGTCCCCCTCCATTAACCCGCTTCAATAACATACGAGAACAACATAAAATTCCCCATATCTTTACCCACCTTTACAACTTCTCAGTTCAAACCCTACAAAAGTTCATCACCAATCCTCAGTTCAGAAACCTAATCCTAACCCACCACCATATCCTCAGAAATCCCCCGACACAGAAGGAAAAAACACCCCCTCTACATCCTGCAACTCCCTCCTCCCATAATCTAGGCCAAAGGGTGAAAAAAAAAAGAACCGACAAAAACGACTTAAACGACAGACTAAATACTGACCCACGCCAAAGACAAACACTGAATATTCCCAATCCCTCCTATATCCTACCCCATTCCCCTCCTAAATCCATTCCTCTCCCTTTCCCCCACCCCCAAAACCCCCTAACAAAAACTACCCGTCACTTCCCTACCCCGGCTCCCAATCCCCGTCCCTGTACGAGGGAGAGGGGTCGCAAAAAAGCAGCAGAGCACCAGACAGAGAGATAAAGCATGGACGAAGAGTCTCATTAGAGACAAGCGTATGCAACAAAACAAAGTTAAGATCCTGCCCTGTTCAAGCGTTGTTTAGATTGAGACCTGCGTCCGCGTTGATGTTGTGCGTCCGTCTACTAATTTCTAATGCCTCTTTGATGCATCAAGGCCACTACCGGCTTTCACTGTGCAGGAGCCGGGTCTTGTCAAATTCAATGGCATGTCCAGTGACCTCGGAATGGAGTGATATAGCCGAACGGTGGATTTGCTTCTTGTAATGGCTGATATGTACCCTGAATCGTTCAGACTCCCGTTCTCACCGACGTACGGTTTCACAGCTGCAGGGAACTTCGTATATGCCTGCCGACTGGAGAGGTGGTAACGCGTCTTTTTTTTTTTAATTTTATTTATTTCCATTCGGAAGTACATAGTTCAGTTACATCACTTTATCATTGTAATGTATGACTTACAAATATTCTTATTATCTATCTAAAAACTAACTCTAGCTACAGGAGGGGAGGAAGTTTCAATCTGCACCTACTTCTTCACAATTGTTGGAAAACATGTTTAGGAAGGCATTTAAAGGGTAACGGTTTTTTATTCGTGTTCGATGTATAGTCTATTCAGGCGAGTTTGTATTGGCTGATGTGTGGGTATAGAATTGATATTGAATAAAAGTTATTGGATAGATGGGCTATGTGTTTGATGATGGGTTTTATATTCTAATTTCTTTTGTTAGTTGTCTGTTGGATATAAACCATGGTGCGTGAGTTGCTAAACGGAGAAATTATTTTGTATTATTTGCAGTTTATTTATGGTTGTGGCTGATGCGTTGGTCCATAGGGGCATGCTATAACATTAATAGTCTGATTATAGTTTATATATTGTTGGTAGCATTGTCTATTGATAGGCAGCTTTTGGAGTTTATTAGAGGTTGTAATTGGGCTATTTTTGCATTTTGCTTGTTGAGTTTTGATTGTAATGTGGGAGTTCCAGTTCGGTTTTGTATCTAGTTAGTCCAAGGTATTTTATCTGTTTGAGAGTGAGGAGTCCATGGATTGTGTTGTTGTTGATTGTAAAGGGGGAGGAGTTAGAGTGCTTCAAGCGAGAATATTTTGGCAGTGGATTTTGTTGGGTTTAGTTTAATTTTCCATATTGTTGACCAGTTATCTATTTTGTCTAGACGTTTTTGTATTTTTTCACTATGATTTTAATTGAATGGCTGGATTTATAAAATTACTGTATCGTCTGCAAATTGTGCTATTGTGGTCTGGTTTGTGGTCGGGATATCTGATGAGTAGATATTAAATAGAGTTGGTGAAAGTGGGGAGGCTTGTGGAAGGCCTGCTTGTATTTTACGGGGGTTTGAATTGTGTTTTTTCTACTGTCATTGTGAATGTTCTACTATCTGTTAAAAAGTTTTATAATGTTGACAGAGTAGATTGGTGTTCCAATTGCTTGCAGTTTAAATATACACGCCTTGGTGCCAAACTCTGTCAAAGGCTTGTGATATGTCCAGGAAGGTGGCTATTGTGTGCTTTTTAATCTTGGTATCTGAATGGATGTGTTCAGTTAGTCTAAGAAGTTGGTTGAAAGTGGAACTTGATTAATAAAGCCAAACTGATGTTGGGGTATGTTTTCTGTTTTGTTTAATAATTGTTTAATCTTTTCAGAATTAATTTTTCAAGAATTTTGACAGAGTTGGCAGCAAACTGATTTGGTCTGTAACTTTCTGGATTACTGTGATTTTATTTGGCTTTGGGATAGGAAATATTTTTGAGGTTTTTCAAAGTATTGGATAGTAACCAATTTTTAATATTGAGTTATAAATATTGTTTATGAAGGCTATTATTGGAGGGTAGTTTTTTATAATTTATTGTTAATTTATCATGTCCAGGGGCTTTTTTTGAGGGAGACTTTTTATTAAATTCCTAATTTCATTTGGTGATATATATTTTTGTTTTTGTGGAACATTATAGTTCGGAGCGGAGACCGAGTTTGCAATTTGTATATGTTCTGTGTCGGCTGAGTGTTATTGAGCGTAAAAGTACCTTTCAAAGAAGTCAGCTAATGCTTCGGCTTTGTCTATGGGGGAAAATTTTTTCCCAGATGGCGTGCTTATAGAGGGATGTGCTTTGTTCTTAACATTGTTTTAGTAAATTTCCAAAGTGAGTTGTTGGTTGAGCTTAGGGATTTAATTAAAGAGTTGTAAGAAGAGTGTCGGTGTCTTTAATTGCGTTTTTGGTTATCTGTTTAGGATGTAAGCTCTTTTTATTTGGGGATTTCTGTTAATGTTCCAAAGTCTTCTTGTTCTGTTTCTGGTTTTTAATATGGTTATTATCGATCTGCAATTTAGTATGTGTTTTTGGTTTTTTATTTGCTATGTTACTTTTGTTGCTGAACGATAACACTGGTTACTATATTGTTTAATAATGCTATTGAACTTTCTATTTCTAAAGGCGTTTTTAGATTCCTGAATTTGGGGGTTCTGATAATTATGTTTTTTCTAAATTCTTTCGCAGTTTATGTTATTAGTATTAATGTGTTGTGTGGGTGTGTGTGGGGGCGGGTTGTTGATGGTGTAGATATTAGTTACAGGGAGGTGATCAGAGTCAAGTTCGGTGTAGCACGGGTGGAAATAAAATGTAGTCGATCGTTGGTGATTGCAATGTCTAATGTGTCTGGGTGTTTATTTGAGTCGTAGAGTGTAGGTTGGTTCTGTAGGAGTTAATATGTGTAATTTTGCGTTCGTTATATTGTTTGTAAATGTTTGCCTGCGCTGTTTGTTGATCTGGGCATCCCCGTTTGGTGGTTTTTGGAGTTCAAATTCTCCTAATCAGTAAAGTAGGGGGTGATTTGATTAAATGTGCTGCGATGTTTGTGTCTTGAATTTTTTTGTTTGGGAGACTTGTATGCTTGTTCTAATGGTGTAATACTCTCTGTTTGTTAAGATGTATTCTTTTAAAGCGACCGTTTCTAATCCAGGAGTGTTTTGGTATGTTTGCTGTGGGTAGGGTATTGATTTTATCCACAAGGATGAAGCAAACCTCCCCCATCTAGCATTTACTCTTCGGCTCCTGTTCTGAAACTACATTGTAACCGGCATATTGAATCTAGTGTGGGATTTGAGGTGTGTTTCCGTTCATAACACCGCTATTTGATTTCTTTATCTTTAAAGGAAGTAATCAATTCGTTTTTTTGTTGTTATGCCATTGGCATTCCAGTTTAGGGCGGTTTATAATTGCATTAGGGGCTATGTGGCCATGATTTCCTATTGAAATACGACGTGAGTGAATTTTGTATATTATTGAGATGTTGGATAATAGTATTAACTTAGATTGATTATGTATGTTGAAAAGAGTTTTATCTATTGTGTGCATGAATGAATTATCATGTACTATATTGTTGCTATTATATTGTAAATTGGTTTGTGGTTGTTTGGATTCCTGTTATGGTTTTCTATTTGATTGATTTGTTTACGTTGGGTAAAGTTTGGTATGTGCTAGTAGTTTGGTAGATTAGGATAGTTTTGGGAGTTTAGATGAGCTGATTAACATTTCGTGGTTTTCGTACTTGACGTCCTTTCCTGGCATTTTGGGGGGTTCTCTAGCGAGCTTTTTGTATAAGTACTTCAACTGATCCTCGCGTCTGGCTTGGTGCGGACCGTTACAGTTTTTGCAAGATAGAGGGTTTTTTTCTTTTTGGGGGGGCTAATTTACTGAGTAATGATCTTTAGCACAATAACTGCATGCTATATTGTATTGCAGTTGTTTCTGGTGTGCCCGAAATCTAGACATCGGAGGCATTGTATAGGACCTTTGCCTTGCGCCTTTTTCCTGGCTTGACATCAGGTGCAATTTGATTTAATTTGTAATATACTGGTCTATGTTTTGGCTACTTGTTGAACCAATCGGCTGCCACTACCGGGATGTGGATTGTTGGTCTTTATACGTCTAGTTACTAAGAAGCGATGGGACTTCCCTTGAGGTTTGATATATTCTTCCTGAATAATAGATGGATGAAGTTTTTAAAGACAATGGAAATATTTTGTTTGCTGGTCTTTATACGTGGAATTTTCTGTTTGTGCTGATTAGATATTTTATTGCCTTCTAAAGTCCGAGATAGTTTTGAAAAGCACTTTGATTTTGTTATTGACAATGTTGAAGTAAACTGTTTGTTATTGAGTTCTTAAGTTCTCTTTAAATTCTGCAACATTATTAATATGGGCTACAAAGATGGGTGGTATTTTCATGTTTAAATTGGTGAGGTCATTATTTGTTCATTTATGAATAGAAACCTATTGTCCTCGCGCTCGTCACTTTGTTCGCAGAGTACTTTCCTTATAGGTACCATTGTATTGAAACTCAGTGGGTTTTTTTGATTTTGCACTCGTATTGTTACTGTCCTATTCATTTTCTTACTCTCGGAATCACTTTCACTATCATTGACTGACCTTTCTGCGCCTGAGCAGGTGTGATGGTGGGAGTGATGCGACACGTAAGATCTGGCTGAGGTAGGCAGGTTGTTGTTGCTGTCCTCGGCGCTGGTTGGAACTGGCGTCGCAGCGAGGCTTATATCCATGGCCTCGCGCTTTGTTGGTAGTTGTGACACTGGTGAAACGACACCGCTTGTCGCCGTTGTGACGATGCGCAGGCTTCAGATATTGTTTGCCCCTGTGTCTGGATTAATGGATAGCCATTAATCTTTAATCTTTTCTTAGCTAGTTGTGACAGATGCTTGTTTGTAACACTAACACTAGAACGAACCATATAGTCACTCGGTGCTCAACGTAAGATAAGAACTCTGAGGCAGCCTGTCCAGCGCGGAGCGATATCGACTGCGATAAGAGCGAACTGCACAGTACCGTGGTCGAAGAGAGAATGAACGCGTCTTTAATGCGTAGAAATGCACCAAAATTAAGCACTTATTAGAATATTTTTAGATATTTCAAAAGCTTTTGACATAATTGAAAGGGGGCAGGGGGAGGAGGAGATGGGGGAACGATTGAGGGAACATGATG